TTCCTCTCCTTGTTTTGCTAATTTCTTTTTAACTCCCACTATCATTCCTCCCATCGCTCTTCCTTTCTTGTTCTTCCTTCTTGCTCCCTGCACTTGTATCCTTTCGACAATTTCTCTTTAACTTTCAGTTTTTCTCTTCCTCCATGTTTCCATCAAAATCAACGCCTTCCAACCCTCTAATGTTTTATAAAATTCTCTGTCTTTATTTCCCATTCCCGCCACATTCCGAAAAACTATTTTCAATCCTCTTTCTCCTTCACATTTCTCTTCTATTTCTTCTCTCCCTTCTCTCTCCTCTCCTCCCTCTTGTCCTCTCCTTTCTTCCTCCTCTCTCTTCTTATTCCCCCTTCTTCTGTGTTTCTTCCCTCCGATCCTTTATTTTTTCCTTCATTTATTGCCTGCCCCTTACTTCCTTTCAGCTCCTTCTTCTACCACTTTAGATTGTCCTCCTTTTCCTTTCGTTTCCACCATATGCCCTCTATCCATAACCTCCAATGTCCCTCTCTTACTCTACTTCCCTGTATCTGCTTTCTCAACGCTATTTGTCTTATTTTCCATCTTATTCTTCTTTCTTCCCATGTCAAATCCTCTCTTATCCATATCTCTTTACCTTTCGGCTTCCCATTTATTCCTCAAAATTTCCCTTTTCATCTCCTCATTCTCTACTCTTATTACCCACATGTTTCCTTTTTCTCTTCTATCCCCCTCTATTCTCTTTATCTCTTCCACCCTCCACTATTAATTCCAGAACTTTCCATATTCCCTTTATTCTTTCCTCTACATCCTCCTCCCTTCCTCTAACTTCCTTTATTATGATATTCTTTCTTCTATCCTCTCTCTCTTTCATCTCCCATCTTCTTTCTAATTCCCTAACTTTTTCCTTTCACTCCTCCCCTTCCCTCTCCTTTTTCCCCTCTCTTTTATCTTTATCTTCCATCCTTCTCTCTTCCCTTCCCTCCATTTTTCCTATCTTTATCTCCAATTCTCCTTCTATTTTCTCTATTCTCCCTTTAAATTCTTCCCTTTCCTTATTCTATTTCTCTTCTCTAATCCTCCACTCTTCCTTGATTCGTTCCATCTCCTACTTTAACATCTCCTTCTGATCTCCTGTCACTTTTCTTATTTCCTCACTTTACTCTTGTCCTTTCTCTCACCTCTGCAATTAATTCTTTCCTCAACTTCCCCATAAGTTCCCTCATTTCCTCTCTCATTCTTCATTGGCGACTCACTAATTTATTATTTCTTTTAAATATTTCCTCCTTTTGTCCTTCTACCTCCCCTTTTCTCTTCCATTATCTCTCGTTTCCTTCTTATGCTCTCCTCTACACTCTCCTCGCGCTACCCCGCCTCTCCCTCCTCTTGTTCTCTAAAAACTTCTCCATACTTTCTTGTCCACTTCCAATTTCTCTCTCCGTTATCCTTCTCTACACCTTTCTCAATTGTTACCTCGCAATTTAAATCATATATGAACCTTGAACAAAACTCTGTTGTACAAAATGAAAAAATGAAATCCAAATTGCGTTACAATTCCAAATTGCATGCACACACGTAATTATATTCCGCGTCTCAGTTCCGCTTTTTCTGACCGGTTGCTCGAATTTCGCGATCCTTAGTGTTCACGGAAAAAAGACTTGCTTGTATCTTTACATTTTACAATAAATGTATATTTATTTAATATCAGCCACCCGCACCTTCTCTCAAAATGCAATACTATTGTATACAGAATGTAACAGAGTTACCAAGCGACCAAGATTACCAAGCTAATTTCTTGAAAAATATGCTATTTTCTTAAAAAATATTTCAGGTGAAAGTTTTTCGACTTTAAGGGGAGACATAATATATTATTGGTTAGACCTTAGGTGACGTTGTCAAGATCAAGTCACGTTGAATTTTTTAAATGAGAACTCCCATTTTTTATTAAATATTCTTGTAGCTAACTTTAAGAGGTTCTTAATAATTGTAATAAAATATTTTTTCATAAAGCACATTTCGAGTTATAAGACTTGAAGATTACAATTCCGCCGGCATTAGAGCATTACAAGGTAACCGACCGACTAAAAAAATATTTGAATATTGTTTAGGATCATGTCTTGGATAACATTTGTTAAGATCAAGGCCATTGGAGATTATTCCTCTTATTTCCATTTTTGGATTAAAAATTCATTTTTACGTAACAATGAAAATAAGAGATACAACATTCAATGGCTTGAAACAATGATATTTAGCTTAACAAATGATATTTAGGACATGATCCTAAGCAACATTCAAGATCAGATCGTCCGTGATGTTTAAGATATTAGTTATCTCGAAAGTTGCGTACCCAAAGATTTAAAAAATTTTGTGTCGACGGGATGAACTTCTTCCTGATGAGCGAATGTTATCGGTATCGAACAGTGACGTCACCGGCCTTGTAAACACGTTACACTCTACGTGGATAATGTTTATATTCATTATGTTGATCGACACGTTAGATTCGTGCCATTTTCGCGGTTTCAATATACGTTTTGACGAGAATCTCAGCAGCGATCCAATGCTGTTAGGCTTGCCAAAGTTTATTCTGTGGACACATCTAATCTCGCATTTCATCGTGTAGTTTGCGCGTAGCGTTCTCGTATTCTCCATTCTCATCATCGCCGTTGCTGTTGTTGTTGTCGTCATGCATCACTGGCATTAGACACGCGGACGTTTCCGTAAAATCGCATGTTTCAAAAATTCATTTATGGTTATTTATGGAATATAATCCCGGGATATAATCCCGAAATTCGATGAACTCAACGTTGAATCTTTTATTGGGCACATTCAAGTCGCAGTGAAGCGATTGGGAGTCAATCAACACGAACTACTTCTTTGCGGCATCATCGCGCAGAAACTTACAGGAAGAGCGAAAGGCACAGTAAGAATCGACGCTACGCCAAATTTTCCACGGCTTTTCGAAAAATTGAGATACCTATTTGGAAAAGCTCAAACCCTCACTACACTGGAAGTACAAAGAGACACGTCCAACGATATAATGAAAATATTAACGAATTCATAAATCGTTTCCTCCGAATGACATTATTACCACAATTAATTCGCAAAGCAATGACCATCTGTATCCAAGAAGAACTTTGTCAATGGAAGTCCATCGAGATTTTCCGCCGTAATGTAAAATCAGAAATTGGAGAGCACCTCTCCAATTGTTTTCTAGCTGGACACTCTAAATCAAGCGTTTTTGAAAGCGAGAGCTTTCGAAGGAGAACTTAAGAAGAGAAGTTAAGAAGATTACGCATACAACGCAATGAAGTCTCAAGGAAACTTATTCAAAAGTCTCAGTCTCAATATCAAAAATATGGCTATAAGAAGCGAGGACATGAGGAAAAAGAATGCAAAATTTTCACGAGCGTCATCTCAATTGATCACCGGACCAAGCATCGTGCCCTTCACATGCAATCGATCGAGTCCCGGAGCAACACATCAATGAGAGATTTATCAGGGACTTGGCCCTGGAACTTACACCAGAGCATTCAGAGTTATCTTGAAAATACCAGATTTTAAGCAAACAATTTTTTTAGTAAACATGGACTCGGATATATTTTCAATTCATGAAATGTTAATTGAAAATAAAAATTTATCCAAGGTAGATTCGATAATAGTATCCGGCGTCACGACACATTCTTTGAAAACTAAGTACGGAATAATTAAAGTAGAAATGTTCGAAAAAAAACATATATTTCACATATTAGACGATTATTCGCTAGTTAAACATCAAGGCATAATAGACATCGATTTTCTTACGAGGAACAATTTCAATTTTTCAAATAAAAGTTTAATTCTTGAGGGAAAGGAATTTAAAAGATGTGACAAACTATATCCTAATGACATAAAAAAAAAGATCAGACATATTAGCCATATTCAGGAATGACACTGAAGTAATTAAAAGAATGACTGTAAAAACCTATTTTATTGAAACATTTGTATGCTGAAATTAAAAGTATTGAAGATTTTCACGATGTACCAATATATTCTATTGCAAAGGAAACTTTGGATAATACAAAGTATTTGTCTCCTACTTTTGAAAGCATTCTAGCGAAATCTGAAATATAATATTAGACTACTACACACGATATTTCACTTTGCCAGGAGATCTCACTCATTGATCTAATCCAACATGAAATTAAAACCTCAGATGAAAATCCTATTCAAACAAAACAATGTCGTTATTCTTCCATACCAGGAAGAAAAAGCAAATAAAAGAAATATTAGCTGAGGATACAATAAGAGAACCGGATTCTCCTTATAATTCGCCACTTTGGATAGTACTTAAAAAGCAAGATGCTTCAGGTAAAACTAAATGGCGATTAGTAATTGACTTTAGAAATTTTAACGAAAAAACTATTCAAGATGCCTAACCATAAATGAGATAAGATTAGATGCATTGCTTTGTCATATGTATTTATTAAAATCTCGGGATTCTTTGATTGAATAGTCGCCGACATTGCTTCCGGAAATCGCTCTCCGGATGGATTTATTTGCAAATTGTTTGATCTCTAAGCGTTTGCACAGCGTCTGTAACTTTTAACAATTGTTCTGCTAATATATTTAAAGTAAACGTTTGTTCGCGAGACGGGCTTTGTGCGCGCGACATTGGAGAAGATTTTTGATTCTAATATATTAATGCTTGCACTTGAGTCGGAAGAGGTATCGGAAGGAATTGATCTTACTCTTCTAATTTATTTACGCCTGAATATTATTCAGTCCAGATATTGAGTTCGGTAGAGCGAGATAATCTTCGAGTCTTCCTCAAAAGTAACAAGTGTAATTAATATTTGTCGTCTCGAAGTTAAAGTATTTCAAACTTTACTGTTTTTATACACTTATTATCTTGTATCTCTACCACCAATTATAAGATTCGCAATAATGTTCTATCAAATAAAAATTCTTTATTCTTGATTTTGTACAAAATTTTTATTAATTGTAAGATTCGCAATAATGTTCTTTCAAATAAAAACTCTTTATTCTTGATCTTGTACAAAATTCACTTTATTACAATTTTCATTCTTAGATGCGACCGGTTTCGTAGGATTTCAATGGACTGCTCACTTAATCCAAGCGCTCTCTATTTTAAGGCTCGGAAATACTTCTAGAAAATTCGAGTTATTGAGTTGTTAAGTAGATACCTTAGGTTTTCAGAAAGTCTTATTTCTATTTTTATCTTAAGAGACCTTCGTCCAGGTAAATAGATAAGGGTTATTAAAAGCAAAACATAAAGAAAAGAAAGAAAAGATCGTATTTCTAACGCTTTCTTATCCTAAGATTATATTCTAAAATAGATATATGAACAATGGTCACAAAGAAGCTCGGTAAGCTAACCTGGCTTCCCGCAATTGGGATTATTTCCGATGCGATCCAACATCCCCGGGCGCATCTCGATATGATTCCACTACAGGTATAGCGAACCCGCGGTGCCTAAACTCTCGTAATCTCTTCTCTTGCACCATTGGAAGAGACCGAGCGTCCGAGATTGCACCCGATTTCTCGAACGACGAGGTGGGCCCTCTATAAAAGATCCCCCTGTTCCATGGTGCGCGACCACAGGTGGATAGACCGCCCAATGGGCGGTAGGTGAACCGTCCAATAGTAGTCAAGGGGGAGGGAGTACTGGGTTATCCCAGTAAGTGTGGCTTAGGGATGAGAGGGTTGGTGGCGGTGTATTTCCTGCTTGGTTCTCCCCACTGTTATGCTTTGTGGAGCGACATTAATCTTCGTGCTTCTGGTATTTGGAGCGTCGTTGGTCTTGCAGTCTCTCTTCGCGTGCGGTGCTTGGTGTTGTGCGCGGACTGTGGCGGAGGTTATCGACGTCTTCCGTCGGTGTGTGGGTAAGCTTCCCTTTAGTGGGAAGTTTTGCTTTGTTGTTCCCTCCACATCGACGTGGCGGATCATCAACTCGACGCCGTGAAGAACTAGAGACGAACCGGGGAATTGGTCGGCGTACTCCTCGGCCGTACTACTACCGGCAATCTAGCATCATGGAATAGACACGGAAAATGAAAAAAATCGCCTGAGATTCGGAACTCAGGACCGGCTGACTGGGGATCTGTTGTCCCTGCCCTCGGTATGTCGTCATCAAGCGATGGGCTGACTGCAGGGTTGCCGACGGACCCTGCAGTTGAATCTGCTGGATGGAAGGTTCGGAAGGTGTCTTGGGTGCGAATGATGTCGTACCTTCTGCGTCGACTGAGCAGGTGGAGCCTGTTGCTGCGTCGCCGTCTCCGTTGCCGCAGAGGAAGAAGGAGCTACGGCTGTGCCTGGATCGTAGGGAGGTTGACATGGTTGCGAGCGCTTCGACTGAGGACTCGGTGGCTCCGGAGTTTGCCTTTACAGGTAGAGTGTGATCTAAGAGAGGACCGAAATGAAAAGGTATCTTAAAGAGATGCGTATAAGAGTAGTGATGGAAGAGAGGTTCGGCTGGCACGTCGATTCTTGGCAGTTTTGACTTGATAAAGAATCCGGGTGTGGTGGACCCGGTAGTCCCACTCTTCCTGCAGTGATGGATGTGAACCGTGTGGGCTCACAGAGCGATAGCGTCTCGCTTGGGTCTACTCCGGTAGAGGTGTTGAGGAGCTCTCGTCCTCCTTTGAGCAGGTCCCGTACAAGGGGAAGAAGAGGGGACGTAAACCGAAGGGCAGCAATGCCCCCGGCTCTCACGCCTTGGCAAAGATATCATCGAAGCGGATGGATGACAAGTGGGACAGGAAGGATTTCCTCAGGATCTCGAAGAGAGGGCTCACGGACTAAAGAAGAGAAGAGGCCTTGTCGAATGTAATCTGGACGACAGACTCTCCTCCAGTCAGAAGACCGCTGTTGAGGAGGTCACAGGTTTTTTCCCTCAGATGTCGCCGAAGTCGGTGGTGGCTGAAATGCTGTGTGTCTTTGACATCGCTGATAAGGCTGAGAGGAGGACCCAGAAGATGAATGGTGCTCTTCGTCGGCAGATCAAGGTTGATGTTAACGTGGCAAAAATTGCGATGCAGCGTCTGGTATCGGACATTGCTAAGTGTTCAGAGCCATCGGATGAGATCAGGGCCAATAACTTTGCCTTGGAGAGGCAGGTTATCAGACTCCGTCGCAAAATGGACATGCTGCGTCGTGAGAGGATCTCCTTGAGGGATCAGGTTCCTTGAGTTCCTCCGGCGAACGGTTCAAGCCTTGAGGGATAATGATCGTTGTAGGGATCGCACTCCTTCCTCGGTCGGGACCGTGCTTATGTGCGAGTCTCCCGTTTCGCGCCGCTCCCGGGATTGCGGGAGACGCAATCTCTTCGCGACGTCAGGACTTGGCCACGGATGATGTGACGCGTAAGACTGGGGTTGGAAACCTGTCTCCTGTATATAGGCCACTTCTCGGTAGGGTTCGCAAGAGGTTGGACGATGTGCCTCCTCTGCTTACCAGAGTTGACAGATCTGGCCGCGTTATTGTGGACTCGTCGCGGATCGCTTCTGACGATCGCCCCGATTCGCGTGTGGACAAGCCGAGAACGGGGACTGTGCGTGGTGGGAGTGGGATGGCAGCTGCGGACGCTCTGCGTGTGGACGTACCCTGTGGACGGTGAGCCATGGACGGAGGTGGGCTCCAAATGTGCGCGCAAGAGAGAAAAAGAAGGGGAAGAAAGTTAAGGTTCCTGGTGTCATCTCGAAGGCTGACTTAGATGCTGTACCTCCCCCCTCTACTGGGGATGGGGCTGTTAGTGCGCGTCGCGCTTAGGTAGTGTACCGAAGGCTGTCCGTACCTCGTATACCGCTGATGTGAGTGGTGTACCCGGGAGTGGTAAGTGCGCTGATGTGTCCCGCCCTTCGACATAGGGTTCGAGGGTCGTGTCGCGCCGTCCTGCTGTGAGGGAATCCTGGTTCTGCGCTCCGAAGACTGCGGTGGTTTTGCTAAGATGTGCGGAGACAGAGGACAAATCCGGAATGTTGTGAAATTGGCAAGAGGGAAAATCTCTCTGAAGGAGCTAAACATCGTCAACACAAGGATTCGGAAGGCGCAGACTGGGGGTCTCCTTATCGAGATCCCCGGAGATGATGAGACGGGTGCCAAAGCGGAGACGCTCCTTGACCGCCTTAAGGCTGTGTTGGCGGAAAGCGATTATAAGGATAAGGTGAATGTCATGCGTCCGGTTCGCCGTGCGGAGGCTGATGGACGTCGATCAGTCTGTCTGCCAGAGCATTGTGGATCGCTCTACTTGGTGTTTCCAATGTGGCGGGAGCGACGGGCTGCTGGCTGCCGGCTGCCCCCGCATTACCCGGTCTATGCATCTAGAGGACTTGCGGCGAGGCATCGTGCTGGCGCGCCGGAATGTGTGCCCCTTAACGGACGCGGACAAGTGCCGGTAAACGAAGACTTACACGTGGACAATGTGGTGGGTACATCCGCTGGGATCGATCGGGGGGCCCCGGTTCTCGCGGACGAGGGGACTGAGATAGACACGGGTGATGGTTAGATTGGCCCAGATAAATGTCAATCGATCGAGATTCTCGCAGGACCTAATCGTTGTGATCTGAGATTAGTCGCGGTCTCGGAGCTAAATCATGTTCCGGATAGCGACCGTTGGTTGGCCTCCACGAACATTCCTCCCTCGACCGCTGTCACCTGGCAGTGGAGTCGTTCGAGGGTGCCGTGCTCCCCTCGTTGGAGGGGTACGCGATTCGCAGCGGTGGATTGGGGGATTGACGTGATCGTGGTGTCATGTTACTTTTCTCACAGTCTCTGCGACGTTGAATTTTTGCGGGACTTACGTGAGCTGGAGGTGAAATTGACTGGCGTGAAGTGAACTCGGTGATTATGATAGGTGACTTCAACGTACGTGCGTCTGCTTAGAACCCCGAACAATCTAATAGGAGGGGAAGACTATTAGTGAATTGGTTAGGTCTTCTAGACTACAACTGCTTAATGTGATGTCAGAACCGACGTGTGTGCATCCTCGTGATGTATCGTGCGTCGATCTTACGCTCGCATCGTCTTCCGCGGCTAGAAGGATCACTCTTGGCGTGTGGGGTCCGAAGTGGAGTCTCTCTCGGATCACAGATACGTTTTTTTCGAAGTTGATGCTTCTTTGGGCCCGCTGTTGGAGGAACTGCCCTTAAGGCCTTTCTTAGGTGGATTGTCAGTAAAGTCAACCCAGACCTTATGCCCCGCAAGGGGTGGGATTATCTCGGATGGGATCCGGCATCACCGGACGCATCTTGATATGATTCCACTATGGGTTTAACGAACCTGCGGTACCTGAGCTCTCGTAATCTTTTCCTTTGCACCACTGGAAGAGACCGAGCGTCCGAGATTGCACCCGACCTCTCGGACGACGAGTTGGGCCCTCTATAAAAGGTCCCTCTGTCCCATGGTAGTGGTACGCGGCCACGGGATGAATGGCTGGTGGGTGAACCACCCAACAGCGGCCAAGTGGGAGGGAACTAGGCTTTATCCCGATAAAGTGAGATCCAGGATGGGTGAGATATTGTTGTGTGGCGCATTGACTCTCCTCCACCCTGCTGTGTTTTGTGGAGCGATTGTGACCTTGCGCTCTTTGTACTTGAAGTGTCGCTGGTTTGCGGCCCCTGTTCGCGCGCGATGCTGGGATTTGTGCGTGGACAGTGGTGTGGGTTATTGACACTCCTCTATCGGTGTGTGGGTGAGCTTCCCTCTAGTGGGAGAGGCGGATCACCAACTTGACGCCGGGAAGCCTGGAAGACGAACCGGGGAGTTGGTCGGCGTGCTCCTCGGTCGTATCATTACGCCGGCAAACAAGGAGGAGCTGCGGTTGTGTCTGAACCAGGGAGGCTGATGTGGTCGCTACGACTGAAGACTCGGTGGCTTCTGAGTCTGCCTCTGTTGGAAGAATATTGCGATCTAAGAGGGGACCGAGGACAGTGGAAGTGAAAAAGTATCCTAAGGAAATGATTAGAGTGGCGGGTGAGATTGTGAACTCTCCTGTCGCTGATAGCGGGTCGGCTGGCACGTACCCGGCGGCATTGGCCTGATCAAGGATGCGAGAGTGGTAGATCTCACTTTGCCTGCATCCAGTGACGAGGGGATGGATGTGGATCACGCGGGTAGTGTGGTAGCGTCTCATTGGGGTCTCCTCCGGTGGAGAATTATGGGGAGCTTTCGTTCTCATTCGAACAGGTCCCATATAAGGTGAAAAAGAGGAGACGTAAACCGAAAGGCAGTAATGCCCCTGGATCTCGCTATGGCGAAAATATCATCGAAGCGGCTGGAGCTTGAAGACGATGAGTGGGACAGGGAGAACTTTTTTAAGATCTCGAAGAAGGGGACACAAGGTCTGAAGAAGAGAAGAGGCTTGGTCGAGTGTAATCTGTACGATAGGTCACGGGCCTTTTCCCTCAGATGTCGCCGAAGTCTGTTGTAGCCGAGACGCTGCGTGTCCTGGACATTGCCGGTGAGGCCGAGAGGAGGACTCAGACAATGAATGGTGCTCTCCGTCGGCAGATAAAGGTAGGTGTGAACGTAGCAAAAATCGCTGTGCAGTGCTTTGTATCAGACATTACTAAGAGCTCGGGGCCGTCAGACGAGATCAGGGCCAATAACCTTGCCCTGGAGAGGGAGGTTGTGAGACTCCGCTGTGAGATGGATGTATTGTCACGAGAGAGGGATGTCTCCTTGAGGGATCAAGTCGAATCTCTCAGGCGTACGGTGCAGATATTGAGGGGTGAGGATCGCGGTAGAGATCGTACTCCTTCCTCGGGCGGGGCCGTCCCTGTGTGTGATTCTCCTATTTCGTGTCACTCTCGGAGACGGTCTTCGCGGCATCGGGATCTTGCTGTGGTCGAGGCGATGTATGAGGCTGGGCCTTCAAACATGCCTCCAATATAGGCCATCTCTTGGTGGGACTCGTAAAAAGTTGGAGGATGTGCCTCTTCGGCCCACTAAAGTTAATAGGTCAGGACGTATTATTATGGTGGACTCGTCGCGGATCGCTTCGGACGTGTTTGTTGTGTTGATTCACGAGTGAACAAGAGGACTGCGCGCGGGAGAAGTGAAGCTGTGTCAGCGGGCGCTCAGCGAGTAGAGCTTCCACCGCCTCTGCCGACGTACCCTATGAATGGGGAGCCATGGACGGTAGTAGGTTTTAAGCGTGCTCGCAAAGAGAGCTAGAAAGAAGAAAGGGAAGAAAGAGGATGTTCCCGGAGTGAGAACCGGAAAGATGGCGGACTTAGGTGCTGTACCTCCCCTTCGACTAGGGCTATTGGTGCGCGTCGCGTTGTTGCCGGTGGCGATGCTCCGAAAACTATTCATGCTTCGTATGCCGCTGCTGCGGGTAGCGTACCCGGGAGCGGAAAGTACGCAGTTGCGTCTCGCCCTACGGTACAGAGTTCGAAGGT